GGGGGGGGGGGGGGAAGTCACTAAACAAACCAATGAAGTCTTTATTTGCCATTTTGAACAAGGAAAGTTGATAGTGAAAGTAGATACTACCATGGCTCTTTCTAAGGGGAAGTCCGCAGATTGAATGATATATTTATATCCATCACAGTTAGGAGCTGGCAAGTCCCAGACTCTGGGTTTAAGGAGGATAACAGCCAGGAGGTAGATGGTAAAGGAGGAAAGGATGGAAAAACTGTAGCCACCCCAACATAGGCGTTGGGGGGTCAGTGTGGCTGATCACCCCAACACAGGCGTTGGGGGTCAGTGTGGCTGATCACCCCAACACAGGGCATTTGGGGTCATTGTAGCTGATCACCTCAATACAAGGCATTTGGGGGTCAGTGTAGCTGATGTGCATGCAATATCAGGGAAACTATTCTTTGTGTCCAAGAGTACACTCAAAAACTAAAGTATTTTCTTTTATTTCATCCCTCTTTTGAAACTTTCCATTAGTGGCATTTGTCCTCCCCCCCTCCCCCAACCCACCCCAAAAAAGGAGGCATTCTGTATGCTAATATAAGCTATACAGTTACCAGATGTACCCAATTTTTTGTAATGCGTGCTCTTCCTTTGGCATCATTAACATCATCAGTCTCTGGCCTGTTTCTTTGGGGCATCTCCATTTTCTACACGATTGTCCTGCAAGATGACTTCCTCCTCGTCAGGACCAGCTTTCTGCTTTGGTTTTCTTCTCCCTTCTGAAAGTTTGTTCTAACTTTAGAGAAGTGGATTTAGCAGATGTATGTGCTGCTCCTTGATGGTTCATTCTCCTTATCTATGGTGTTTTGGGGGATTAAACCATGGGGCAGGAGAAGGGTAGCACATGGGTTCCAGCTGACCTGAGAGCTGCTGCTATTCTCTACTTCATAAAGCTCAAGTTCTGGGTTTAGAGTTAGGAGAAGAGATTGGAGATGATAGTAGGGGATCTCTATTGGGGAAGAAGTGGGTACAGGGCGTGGGCCAGTAGTGGCGATGGGAAAGTGAATGTAGATCAGCCAATATGAAAAACCTGTCACACTGTGCTACTTAATGTCTTTGTACTTTTTCCTTCAGTGATAGAGCTGTTTGTAGTGACCATATGAATAATTGAGTTAATTACTGCTAGATTCTAAATGCTCCAGAGCTATTCTGTGGTGACTAATATTTCTGCTCAGAAATGTCACCTGGAGTCTTGCTTCTAATAAAAATCAGCATTTCTTCTGCAGGAAGAGCAAGCAGTCAGACCAAAATACCTTCTGGGTCGTGAAGTCACTGGAAACATGAGAGCCATCCTAATTGATTGGCTGGTGCAGGTTCAAATGAAATTTAGGTTACTGCAGGAGACCATGTACATGACTGTTTCCATTATTGACCGGTTCATGCAGGTGAGCTTAATTCCATAATTGAGGGTTCTTCCTTCCAGGGGCCTGAGTCATAAAAAAACACCTTTTCAGCTAAAATCTGTATCGGGTGTCATAGAGATTTTGCTCTGGCAGTATGTTTTCCCACCTCTTTCATAGCTCTGTGTCTCCTTCTCAAATACATATTACTTACTCATCCAGTTGAAATTCCCATTGCAGAATAATTCTGTGCCCAAGAAGATGCTGCAGCTGGTTGGTGTCACTGCCATGTTTGTTGCCAGCAAATATGAAGAAATGTACCCTCCAGAAATCGGTGACTTTGCCTTTGTGACTGACAACACTTACACTAAGCTCCAAATCAGACAGATGGAAATGAAGATTCTGAGAGCTTTAAATTTTTGTCTGGGTCGCCCTCTACCCCTGCATTTCCTTCGGAGAGCATCTAAGATTGGAGAGGTATAGATCTCTTGAGGAACGTTTGGTGTGGTACATTAGAGAATCCTGCTGACCAAGCAGATGTAATTCAACTGTCTTATACCTAACTAGATGGGAAAGGGACACAAGCATATTCTTTATTTCCATTTAGGCTATATGTTTAATATTATTAAGGCCTTCTATGGGTAATTGCACTTGAGAGTTTATAGGAAACCATTTGTAGCTACAGTTATGGGCATACTGGTTATTGCCAAGGCAAAGTTTTCTGACAGAAGCTCAGTGACTTGTGTGTGGATTCTGTTCCAGGTTGATGTGGAGCAACATACTTTGGCCAAATACCTGATGGAACTAACTATGTTAGACTATGATATGGTGCACTTTCCTCCTTCTCAGATTGCAGCAGGAGCTTTTTGTTTAGCGCTGAAAATTCTCGATAATGGTGAATGGGTAAGCTCTGTCCCACAGACTTAGGTTGCCCTAAGCTTTTAAATTGTAAATAGTATTTGCCTGAATACAGAACTGTTTTCATTAAAGGACAATTCAAATGGTTCCCAAATATGGCATCTACAGAGGGAACGATTAAAAATGATATCCCATTTGTGATGTCTTCATAGAATGTTTTCATTTCATTGCCTAGTTTTATCTTTCTATATCCCTTTGAGAAAGGCAGAGCAGCTGCTACTCGTTACAGGTGGAGAAGTACGAGCTGGTCAAATGATATACTAAAAATTTATTCACATTCGTTGATTGAACAAGTATTTCTATGCCATGTGCTACTCTAGGCCTAGGAATAGAACTATAAGAAAGTGGGCCTCAAGGAATTTGGAGTCTAGGTTTGGGATGGACAAGTTAGCAATTACAAGTGTATCGGTTTGAGCACATTAGTGTATAAGCACGGGATCCTAGAGAAGCATGAAAGGAGTGCCCAGGGAAGAGGGGGTCTTAAGCTTGTCTTGAATTTCAATTCTAAGCATATACAGTATCCATCTCCATACCGTACTCTTGAATAACATCTAAAAATGTTATGAAAACCATTGTTGATAAGCATTATTAACAGTAACTCTTATTGTCAGACACCAGTTCTACAGCATTACCTGTCATACACTGAAGATTCCCTTCTTGTTGTCATGCAACACCTCGCTAAGAACATAGTCATGGTGAATCGTGGGCTTACAAAGCACATGGTAAGTCAGTCAGTGACAGGATGTTGTGGGGAAGTGAAAATAAATAAGACTTCATCCCTGCAAATGCATAGCGTATTTTTAAGGACTTGGTGTTTTATGTGAATACCTGTACCACTGGATCTTATGTTTTCCTCTTTTCTTTCATTAATTAGTATTCTTTTCTCTTTCAGACTATCAAGAACAAGTATGCCACGTCTAAGCATGCTAAAATCAGCACTCTAGCACAGCTGAATTCAGCACTAGTTCAAGATTTAGCCAAGGCTGTGGCGAAGGTGTAACTTGTAAACTTGAGTTGGAGTACTGTAATACCTGCAAATGCAATTGGCACCATGTGCTATCTGTATATATTATATGTTACATTGACTTACTTTTAATAAAGCTGTGGTCCTTTTTACCTATACCTTAATTCATTTGAATGTGGCTACTTCCTACTCTAGGATACCTTAAAAGGTGTGTTAAAGACATGGTGGGGAATATAGAATATTAAAAGTGCTTTCAATTAACCTGGGGGACCCAACTAATATATATAATTGTTGCTTATATGGTTTTTGTTTTATGTACCTGGCTTTTACTTTAATATAAATAACTGAGGTCATGAAGGCATTCAAAACTCTTAGTTCCATAGGGCATACTGCATGTAAGTCCAGTGATCTTAGAGAATCTGCTGCCTGCTTGGTTCTACTCAAGTAAAAGTCTGCCACCTCATCCCCAGTCCCCGTCTTCTGTTTCTTGTGGTGGTTGCTGCCAGTAATTCTAATAATCTACTTTTAGCACTATTTCTTAAATTACCAAATTTAGTATCAATTTTTTAACTTTGAAAAATAAGAACTTTAATTCTAAACCTAACCTACTTGACTTTTTATTGGTTGAGAAAGTAAAAGGGGCTCCTTAAATATACAAAAGTACTATATCTTTAAAAGTTTATTTTACCCGTGCCCTCCCCCCAACTTCTCAATTTCTCTACCTGGAGGATGTTAACAGTTGGGATGTATCCTATCATGACTTCTATAAACATAGACATGGGTGTAAATTGTGGAGGTGTTTAAAAATGGAATCATACTACATACTCAGCAATTCTTTCTAACATGTATAGGCCTTACCTATATTCCATAGTATGCTATAATGTATTCAGTCTCCTGTTGACATTCAGGTTTTTTCTGTGCCACTACAGACAATGCTGTTTATCGTTAAATACCATGTCTTTTTTATGTACACTTGTGTTCTGCAAAGAGTGTGTTCTCATTTCTAGCGGATGCTGCCAGATGACTTTCTCAATGTCATCAATGTGCAAAAGTGCTTGTTTTCTCTCCAGTCATGCCAGAACTAAAGTAATCATTCTCTTCAATTTCTGTGAATTTGGCAAAAAAAAAATTCTACCTTGTTTGCTGTTTTATTTTATGCTTCTAATGGCTACTTGAATAAATTGTTGTCTACTAACATCAATATGTAAGGCTTTGCCAGTTTGTCACTTGCCCTTTGACTGTTTTTGCTGTCATTTGCCATGCAGACACTTAAAGTTTTTATATGATTAAGTCTACTTTTTTCTGTAGTTGCTTTTGGATTTTCAGTGTTAAGGTCAACTCCATCTGAAAACCATAAATACCATCTAAAACTAAAAAATTTTCCCATTTAGATCTCTAATCACTGTGGTATGAGGTAGGATTCTTCCAGATGGATGCCTATTCATGCCAGAACCATGTTATTCAAATCACCTCCAACTGAACTGAAACATCAATGCCCATCTGCTGCTCCCTGATCTTATTTTTCCTGTGATAAACTTAATGTAAAACTATATGACCTGGTAAGATGAGGCTACCACTATTTTCAAATATGTGGGGGCAATTTTCAAACATATGAACTTTAATATTAGGTTGTTACCAAGAAGCTTTTGAGATTTTGCTGTACATTATGTATATTATGTACATTATGCACTGGTTTCAAATGGACTGACATTGTCCTCCTACCCAGAAGCACTTTTCTACATCAAGTCTAGTTGCATACCCTTAAATACAATGTCAGAATTTATATAATTGCTGCACTTTTCTTGCCAAGTTTATTTTTTTTGTCTACCAATGGTTTAGCATCAGTTTCTCCACAAATGAGTGTTGAGTGATGGGTTGTCAAGTTTATTATTGGGTTTAAGGTTTTTTTGTCATTATTAAAAATAGAATCTAATTTTCACTTTATTTTTATTGCTAGTTGAATTTTTCTTACCCAGCTGACATCAATTTTCTTTCTTGATTTGTTTTTAGTGGAGTTTTCTAGGCCTTAAATCCAAAAATTTTATTTTTTAATGTTTATGGTATTTGTTATATTAGAACCTCCAAAATAATCATTGGTAATAGGTAGATCCGTGTCTTGTTCCTGGATTGGACATCCCAAGTTTTTTTTTTTTCATCATTTTTTAAAGCAAGGGTAATAATGTTGAAAGTAAACTAATAGGTTGGTTTTTTTTTTTTAATTTTATTGATTTCAGAGAGGAAGGGAGAGGGAGACAGAAACATCAATGATGAAAGTCATTGATCAGCTGCCTCCTGCACGCCCCACAACTAGACCAAGCCGGCAACCCAACCATGTGCCAACCAGGAATCGAACCTCTATCTCCTGGATCATAGGTCAACGCTCAACTACTGAGCTATGCTGGTCTGGCCTAATATGTATTCTTAAATCATTTATTCGCCATAGTAAGAGGGGACATCACAAGTATTTTTACCAATTTAATATTTTTGCTGTTAGTCTTTAAGTATTTTTCTATTCATTTAGAGCTGTTATAGGCAAGCTGTGGAACTTCATTTACATTTTCAGCTTATGATATCTTTAGGGGTTTTTCTTTTGATATAATATTCCATGTTAGAGGTTTCCTAAAGTGTAATGAATTCTTGCTCGTGATATATAATCTGTTAATATTTCATCTTTAAAATTTTGCATCTCATTTGGGAAAATGGCTGTTTTTGTTGCTACCTTTTTTGGTTTTTGTCTATTTTACCATCTTAAAGGTAGGTTAAAGAGATTTTCATCTTCAAGTCTTTATCATTTGAAATCCTTGTTTGTTCATTGAAAACTGAATTAACTATAAAGTCATTTGGTATGGAGCTGCTTAAATGGTAGTTTTCCATGGTCTTTTGGTCAATTAGGGATTTTTTTTTTCTACTTCTATTATCCATTCTGGATTTTTATATCAGACATGGTTGGCCAGGGCTGTTCTTTATCATGTTTTGAAAGAATCGATGTTTTTTTTCTTTTCTTTTTTTAATCCTCACCCAAGGATATTTTTTCCATTGCTTTTCAGAGAGTGCAAGGGAGAAAGAGAGAAACATCAATGTGAGAGAGACACACAGATTGGTTGCCTCCCACCTGCCCCGACTAGGCCAGAGATGGATCCTGCAACCGAGGTACGTGCCCTTGGCCGGAACTGAAGCCAGGACCCTTCAGTCCACGGGCCGATGCTCTAACCACTGAGCAAACCAGCTAGGGAGAAAGAATCAATTTTTGGCGTCATCATTTCTACCACCTTTGTTTTTATAGTTTTAGCTTTTATGTTAACTTACCATCTATTTTTCTATTGGTTATTTTCTAATTTAAATACTTAATGTATTTTAATAATAAAAGCCTTTATACATTTTTCTCTGAGATAGCTTGCTTCTGAAAGTACTACTTTTCAGCAGTTTCAGGTTATATCTTTTGTGGTCCTTTTTGATCAAGAGGTTAAGTGCTCATTTCCTAATTTATTTTTAAAATTTTTTGTAAGACATCTTTATGTTGGTGATTTTTAATTGCATTGGAGATTAGTTCTGTAAATAGCCTTTTTAAAACAGTTAATGTTTTCTCTGTGGATAAGTACTTGATTGGCTTCTATACATAGTTCTAGTGATTTATGTAGGCAAATATTAAACAGCAGCTGAAGAGAGAGAAAAGTGGGGGAAGGATTATAAATGTGTGATAAATGTGTGGGTGTACAGCAATACATTCCTTTTTTTCAGAGCTATTTGAAAGCAAATTTCAGGTGTAAATATGTCACCTTAAAATACTTCATCAACATCTAAGAATTAAGGTCATTTTCCTACATAACTACAATCTTTAAGAAAAATGAACAAATCCATATATAATCTGCAGTACATATTCAAATTTCCTCAATTGTTGCAAAACATCTTGAACTTTTTTCCAGTCCAGGGTCTCTAGATTCATTTTTTTCCTTTTAGACCAATTGCCCTACTTTTTGTTTTTCAAGGCATGGGCATGCATTGTCTTGACCTTTGTCTTGTAAAATGTCCCTCATTCTAGATTGTCTGATTGATTGTATAGTCAATTTCAGGTTATGCACTTTGACAAAAATATAGGGGATCTGTACAACTTATGCTCATACTGGAATCATGTATCAGATTGTTAAACTACTGGTGACACTAAGTTTGATCAGCTGGTTAAGGTGGTAACCATCAGGTACGGCTTTGCTGTAAAGGTGTTCTCTTTCTAGTTATAGTATCCATAAATGTTCCTTGCTTTGAATCATCTCACTGCGAGTGGCGTAATGATAGTTATGTAATTCTATTATCCCTTCTATATATTTTGGATATTCTCTAAAGAACACCTCCCCAGCCACACCTTCACTTTTTTTTACTCTGGATTTTTTTTTTAATTAGTTTAAAAATCCATTACTGCAGTGGTTCTCAAAGTGTTATCCCCAACCAGCAATATCCTTATCACCTGGAACTTGTTAGAAATGCAACTCAGTAATTTAGGTGCCTAACAATCTGTTTTAACCAGCCCTTCCCATGATTCTGATGAATGCTCAGTTTGGAGAACTACTGCATTGTCTTTGTCCCAAATTTGGCCAGTGGACACCTGATAGGCGACAGCTTAAAAGTGTGAGGCTGACTTTGGAAGACATCTGGGTAAAGTGGAAAAAACCAATAGGATCACTTTTGGGGAGGGGGGAGAAAGTGTTCTTACAGGAGTTTGGGGGTTGGAGTGGCGAACCTTACATTTATATCCAACGGCGCCTTTTGAATCTTTTACCAGGAACTGTGTTTGATAATGGAGAGGAAGAGTGGGGAGCTGTGCGATCAAGTATAACTCGGGAAACTAGCTATAGAAGGGAATGCTCATCTCGTTAAGAGACTCGAGCTGCTGGGCTTGTGCCGCTGCAAGGACATGGTCTCTTACACCACGGTCCATAATGAAAAAGTAGCTCAACCAGGCATTTATAAGCCCTGCATTTTCTCCATTTCCCGCTCACTGCCTAAGAAAGCTCAAACGTAACCTGCCGAATCAACAGGCTGCCACTTGGGGGCACCCAACTCTGCTAGGGCTGCGAATTTTACTAATAGCGGAGGAACACGCTGCAAGTCTGGGGTTCGGGCATCTGCACTGCCTCGCAGGTGGCCTCCCGGGGGTGTCTTTGAACTTGGGCCACTCGTTCCTCCGCCAGACGAGGGGTCTGAACCTTATAAGCTCAGGTCAAAGTCTTCGTAAGCCTCTTCTATTTCTCTTCCCCAGCCTACCCGGCACACCCGTTTCCCGAGGCCTCGCCTGGAAAGAGTGCCAACACGGGTCAAAACGCGGCTGTTCCGCAGAGCCAAGGCCGAGTGGGCATTGGAGTCAGGGTTTTACCGTGCAGGCGGCGGCAGCCGACAGCGCCGAGCGCGTCGCGGACAGCTCGGGCCCGCCTCTAGCCCAGCCCCGAAAGAGCTGACTCTTCAAGTTCTTCGAACCTCTTGTCCTAGTAGTTCGTACACGTTTTAAAGCAGTGCAGCCGGCATAAAAGGGTCGGCGGTAACTGCGGCAATCGAATAGCGAGACGGAAGGGGCGGGCCTTAGGGCGGAAAGGGCGGGGCGCGCGCTCACCCGCCCTTTCCGGGCGTCACTTCGGCGGCGGGAAAAGCGGTCTCTACCGAGAGCGTCCATCGGTCGCCCGCTGTAGTTGTTCGCCGTCCACAGGAGCCGGGATGGAGCCGCCGCCCGAGGAGCCAGCCGCCGCCGAGCCCGCGGACTCCGGAGAGGACCCCATGACCCTGCTGCTCAGGTGGTTCCCTCTGGCCCGCTGGGCCCGAACCAAGAGCTCGGGGTGGCCCGGAGCCCCGCCTCTCCCCCTGAATGGCCGGAATGTTTTGAATTCAGACTAGGTCCCCGAGTGGCTGACATCACTTAATTAAGCTCGTTAAACCCCGTTCTTCGTCTCCGAAAAGGAGAGAGGAAAAGGACACCCTCCTGTCACAGTTGCTAGAGGGGTTCAGTGAGGTTTGGGGCGAGCGTTCCGCGTAGTGCCCAGGGCCCTTTGAGCCTTCGGAGCTGTGGTTTCCCCGCTTTCTTACCCCTCACTCCCTGGTGCCGCGGTTTTCAAGCGGGTCTGCGGGGTGCATCCAAACCCTCGAGCTACTGGAGGTAGGCTGCCCTCCCCTTTATTGTATAGCGGACACCTACGGCCCTTTTCAATCCAGAAGCTTCGTACGTTGTACGTGGGCCGCTGCCTCCCGCAGCAACCCCGACCCACGCACCCCCACCGGGATCAAACCCGAACCTCAACCAATCGAGCCACCCAGGCCAGGGCCAACGGAGTGATTTTTATACCTTTCCACTAAGCAGTTGCTAAGGGAAGGTTTGATGAGAAGGGGCATGGGTCTTCTAGACCAGTGGGCAAACCACAACCAAGTCCCCCTTACTGCCTGTTTTTCTGTGACCACCCTCAAACTAGGAATAGTTTTTATGTCTTTAGGGCTGGGGAGGAAATTACAAGAAGAATATTTAATAACCCCTGAAAATTATATAAAATTTAAATTTTATTGCCCTTAAGAAATTCTTACTGAAGCACAGCTTTCCTGCTGCAAGGGCTGAGTTGAGTACATCGAACAGAGACCATATGACTCAAAACTTGAAATATTTGCTACTTAGTCCTTTACAAAATAAGTTTGCAGACTGTTCTAAATCATAACAAGGCTATTTTTAAAATAAGCACTGTAACTTTCTCAGGTTCACCACTGCTTTAAAGGACTTTGGCTAATAAAGCTCACCCTCACTTAAAAATTCCCTCCTACTTGTAATATAAAATCCTAAAACATTAAAGATATAAGAGCTTTCCCATCTCACCTAAAAAGGAACTAATCTTTCAGGCTGTCTTATAAAATGCTAGCCTAATTAACATCTAACAAATTGCTATTTTCATTTGGAATTTTGAAACAAGGAACTGTGCATGGAGCTTTAGAAATTTGTCTAATGTTTCTTAGCTTGTTTGTGACTTTGTCACAAAGCAACAGTTTCAGATTTATGAAACTACCATGTAAGTTTGAAACATCTTATAAGTACAACTTAGTAACTAATTACCATTTACCCATAGCTTTTCTACTTATTTCATGTAAGATTTTTAATTAAGTAGACTAAGGACAAACTATGACTTATCTATCCAAGAATTCGTATCTTTGTTATGTTTCTCGATCTCCTGAACGTGTTACAATCTGGTTGTAACTCATTAGTGTTTGTGACTTCCCCATTTTGATCTAGTTCTTTGTGTAGCAGTTCTCATTAACCATGACCTATTAAGGATAAATTTAAATATGCAGACGATGTATTCTAGAATCATACACCTGAAACCTATATAATTTTATTAACCAATATCACCTGAATAAATTCAGTAAAAAAGTAAAAAATAAAATAAATAAATTTAAAAATCAAATTTTTAACTTTTCGTCACAGATGCTGTATTCTGCCGTATTCCATTTTAAAGAAAATGAGGCCAAACTAGAATAATTTTTGTTTTTTTAATCCTCACCTGAGGATATATTTTTCATTGCTTTTCAGAGAGAGAGAAAGACACATTGATGTGACAGAGACACATTGATTGGTTGCCTCCCACATGCACCCCAACCAGGGCCGGGGATCAAGCCTGCAACTGAGGTAGGTGCCCTTAGTCGGAATCGAACCCAGGACCCTTCAGTCCACACGCCAAATCTCTAACCACTGAGCCAAACAGGCTAGGCCCAAACTAGGACACATTAATGCTGAGTTTATTTATATTCATTTTGTTGCATTAGCTTCCAAAAAATGAGTTGCTTTATCATACAGTGATGAGTAAAACCTCAATAAATACATCTTTCTCTTTTTCTTTGTTTTCAGGCTGAGGGCACAGACACAACAACAACTCTTGGAATATAAATCATTGGTTGATGCAAGTAAGTTTTTGCATTTTCAAATAAGGTTTTGTGTGTGTGATGATGAGCAGCACTCTGGCGAAAAGAAAATCAACTGTTCAAAAAATTATTTATTTTGGGAATAGGAGTGATGGCATAATGCTATACTATACCATGTGGGAAGGCAAAAACAGCTTGCCCTGGCCATCCGGAACTAGTTAGGGATTCAGGAAATAGATATAAAACAAATAACAATACAAGACAATTAAGTTCTATTGGTCAGAGAACTGAAAAATCCCAGTGGGCTTAGGAATCCTAGAACTTGCTGTACCATCAACAACTAACTTGAAGATTGAATTAGCACATCAGATAATTATGAAGCTAGTGGTCTGAGACCTATATCTTGAAAAGCGCTGGATAATGGGGATCTTTTTTTTTTTTTTTTTTAATATGCTTTTACTGATTTTAGAAAGAGGAAGGGAGAGAGAGAGTGAAACATCTATGAGAGAAACATTAATCGGCTGCCGGCTGCACGCTCCCTACTGGGGATTGAGCAGCAACCTGGGCTTGTGCCCTGACCTGGAATGAACAGGGCACCTGTATTGACTGGGATTTGATTAGGATCTTTAGATCAATATGGGGGAAATTGCTATATTAGCAATACTGATTCTCCCAATACATGTACATAGTATATCTTTCCAGTAAAATACTTGGTAGTGTTCAGTGTAGAGGTCATACACATATTTTGTTAAATTGATTCTTAAGTATTTCATGTTTTTTAATACAGTTGTATATGGTATTTTTAATTTCCAATTTATATAGACATAGTTAATTTTTTATATTGCTCTCGTTCATTTATTACTCCCTTTTATTTTCTACAATTCTAAAACTGTTCTGTACAATGTGGTAGCCGCTAGCTCTGTGACTGTTTGAACACTTGTAATGTGGTTCGTCTTCATTGAGAAGGGCTGTAAATGTAAAATGCACACAGAAGTAAAGATTGTGAAAGATTGCATTAGCGCTCTAGCAGGTTTGGCTCAGTGGTTAGAGCATCGGCCCTTGGCCTGAGGGTTTGAGGTTTTATTCCAGTCAAGGGCACCTACCTCAGTTGCAGGCTTGATCCGTAGCCCCGGTCAGGGCGAGTTCGGGAGGCAGCCATAGATGTGTCTCTCTCACATCTATGTTTTTCTCTCTCTCCTCTCCCCTCCCCCTCTCTTCCACTCTCTCTCTCTCTCTCTGAAAAACGATGGAAAAAATATCCTTGAGTAAGGATTAAAAAAAGAAAGAAAGAAATATTTCATTAGTAATTTTAAGTTGATTACATGTTGAAATGATACTATTTTGAATCTATTGGGTTAAATAAGCTGTATTAAAATTTTTACTTGTTTCTTTTGTAACGCGGAAACTAGAAATTAAAAATTATATATATGGTTTCTATTTGTGGCTTACATTATATTTCTGGACAACACTGTTCTGAAATGTTGCTAACTTCAAAAAATTATTTCTTTGTAGATGAAGAAAAAACTCCAGAAGAAATCATTCCAGAAAAGCAAATTGAAACGTATGTCATATTTTAAACTTTATTTGTGGTTTTCACTAAAAGTTAATAATATCCATCTTATAATATTGCCTTCCTCCCTCCCCCCCCCGTTTATTTCCCAAGTAATTTGTCATGCATGTATTGAAAACTTGCTGGTATGGGATATAGACTTACATGTACATGGATGATCTTTTTAGCACTTTTGGCATTCCCCCATAAACAAGATATTTATCAAAGTATTTTAGGAGGCATCAGTTTAGCAAATCTGTAAGTGCATTGATGCTATGAGCCTATAGAATACTTAAATTTAGATAGAGCCATGTTACTTTTTTCAAAGGCTTACTTTAACATTTATTCCAATAGTGACTTTTTCTGATAGTGCTGAAATTCTTTTGTTTATGCTTCTTTGATAGTAAAATTGAAGACCTGGAAAATGAAATTGAAGAGGTGAAAATAGCTTTTGAAATGAAAAAGCTTGCATTAGACAGGTAATTATTACATTTCAGATATAAGTATTGTGAACTGAATGCAAAATGGGTATGGTTTGAGGTGGAGAAAATATTTTAGTCTAAATGAATTAAGCAAAATGATGATTAGATAATGGTCACACAAATTTTGAACCCTGAGAGAAGTCACACCATTCATTTCTCCATTTGAAGAAGCTGCATAATACAGGGTTAGTAAGGAAATGTCAAATCAAGACCATAGAAAGGTGAGGTTAAATCCCTTTCAGTGTTGAAAGGATTACGTGGATTTATTTATTCCAGTAACTTAATTGAGTAAAAGAATTGTCATTGAGTTTAAAGTAAATATTTTTTAATTATAAGTTTTTTGTCTATGTTTAAAAATTTATGCAACAAATATTTGAGTGCTTGCTTTGTGCTAGGCCTCTTACAGATTTTGTGATCTGAATTAATCTCAATTAAGTAAATGACTTCTAAAACTACTTTCTTGTATTTCTGGCCTTCCTAGATTAATTTCTTCATACATTTAACTGAAAAGTGGTTAAAGCACTTTTAATTGCTTCAGCAGTGAGCTTTTCCCCTCATCTCATATGCTGGCCTGTTATATAGGTTATATTTTTTAACTAAGGTGACTTTAGAGGTATTAAGATACCACCTTTTAATGAATTGAATTTTCTGGTGTGTGACAAAAGGGAAGAGCTCTAATATTGCTGAGTTGATTGCTTTTTTATTATTACGTATTTATTAGCTATTTGAATTTAAAAGTGATTTATGGAGCTTGTTTATATGTAGGCATATTTTAAAGTTTACAGTTAAGCGTGGCTTTGTATTTCCTAACTCTCCATTTCAGGCCCTTGTTGATCTTTTTCATTCTTTTAATTTTCTTTTCAATGTACTGTAAATGTTATCCATGTTTTCTAACACAAACTTTTTCTCTCTCATAGGATGCAGCTTTCCACAGCACTTAGAAAAAAACTGGAGAAAAGTAACGTTCAGACTAGGTACTATTTTTTTCTGCATTTGGTAAGGATGGTAATAAGAAAGGGGATCTGCATAATGACTTTAGTTTCGTGATTTTTTATTATTATTCATTTAAGGGAGGGGGAAGGGAAAGGAAGAGAAAGGAAAGCATCAATGTGATAGAGAAACATTGATCGATTGCCTCCTATATGGGCCCCAACCCAGGATTGAACCTGCAACCTGGGTATGTGCCCTGACTGGAAATCGAACCTGTGACCTTTTGGTGTACAGGGTGATGCTCTAACCAACTGAGCCACACCATCCAGGGCTCATGGTTTTTGTTTTGTTTTTTAACTGTCACTGCCAACCAGCTTTATCTGGGGAATAAGAAAAGTGATGGGAATTTTTGTGGACCTTTCTCAGCATTACTACTTTATTTATTTATTTATTTATTTATTTATTTATTTATTTATTTATTTATTTATTTATTTATTTATTTTTTATTTATTTATTTATAATCCTCACCTGATTTTTTTCCCCATTGCTTTTCAGAGAGAGTAGAAGGGAGAAAGAGAGAGAAACATCAATATGAGAGAGACACATCAATTGGTTGCTTCCTGCACACGTGCCCACCGGTTCGGGGATGGAGCCTGCAACTGAGGTATGTGCCCTTGACCAGAATTGAACCTGAGACCCTTTAGTCCTCGGGATGACACTCTAACTACTGAGCCAAACAAGCTAGGGCAGTTACAACAATTTTTATAGTCCCTCTGACATCTTGTTCATACTGCAGTGCTAAGAAGCAATTTAGGTTTTAACCATATAGTCTGATAATTTTGAAGGAAGGTTTGAAATTTTATTTTATGCATTATTTACTGAAAACCAGGAACAATGCTATCTCATTTAATCTAACAACAACCCAATGATAGATACAAAGTATACCCTTTATTTTTCATTGGTAAAAATGAGCTTGTATACGTTAAACAGCTTGCCGAGGAATATAAAATAGAGACTGGCAGTCAAGGTCCTCTATAATCTGGTTCTAAATATATGGCCTTAGGAGCCTTATCTGTGATCTTGTCTCCCAAAGCTATAAAAATCATGTAATATAAAAATCCCCTCCCATGAGCAGTAGAAAAATACTAAGATGGATCTGGGCATTTCCCCTATCTTGACGTCTTAGTTTGGTGTCTTAGTTCAGACTTACACACATTCTCCCAGTGTTCTGTTTAAATCCAGGGTTACAGCACAGCTAATGTGTCTCAGTGGTTGAGCGTCAGCCTATGATCAGGAGATTGTGGTTCCATTCCCGGTCAGGGCACATGCCTAGGTTGCTGGCTGGATCCCCAGTAGGGGGCATGCAGGACGAGGTGGCTGATCAGTGACTCTCTCTCATCATTAATGTTTCTATCTCTCCCTCTCCCTTCCTCTCTCTGAAATCAATAAAAACATAGGTTAAAAAAAAATCCAGGGTTACATAAATTCTGAAATATGAACTTGAGCTCACTAACTACTGCTCCCCCATAAATGAGAGCTTAAAACATTCTTGAGTTAAAGGGATACAGGACAGATTCTTCATAAACTTTACAACCAAGTACAGCTGTGACCAGCAGAAAATGAGTTCAGCTCTTTCACATTTATGTAAACATTCCCCATTTTCAGCCTCCAAAATACACTCCTACAATATCACAGTAATTCATAATTTCACAATGATCACATTGCTGGTCCCATCCCAAACCTACTGACTCTGAATCTAAAAACCAAGGTACAGGGTTGGTGGTGGGGCTTGGTGGGGAGGGCAGCTGGCAGTCTACATTTAACAAACCTCTCAAGGGATTGTGGCAGTTTGAAGTAGAACTGTTTTTCACACCCTTTGGCTCTAGCCATCCCAGACTACTTGACTTAGGTAATTACTTCATGTCCTTCAAGATTTGAGGGTGTCCCTTGCTCCACTCTGCACAACTCTTAACAATGGTTCATATCCATTACTGATTGTAATGGAACCATACTATAGTTGTGGATTTATTTTTCTCCCCAACCAGGCTCTTTTCCCTTTGAAAACAGGTACTGTGCTTTATTCTGTTTTACATTCCTACTGCCTGGCACAGTTCTTGGTATGTAGTAGGCACTGGCAAATCTTTGTTGAAGAAAAGGGGTTAAAAAGCAGCTAATTCAGTGAAACTATTCTGTATGATACTGGAGTGGTGGAATCATGTCATTATATGTTTGTTAAATCCATAGAATGTACAACAAGAGGGAACCCTAATGTAAACTATGGACTTAGTGTGATTATGATGTGTCAAATAAATATTTATCATTTGTAGCATATGGACCTCTTTGGCAGGGGGGCGTTGATAGTGGGAGAGGCTGTGTGTGTGTACGAGCAGAGGGTACATGGACTTACTTTCTATTCAGTTTTGCTGTGAACCTAAAATTGCTTTAAAAATAAAGTTGTTGGTTTTTTTAAAAAGCAACTTATTAGCAAGTTTTTAAGAGTTTTATTTTCTCCCTAAATATGAGATTTTTAGAAATGTTCTTACATGCTTAAATTTGATATTTTTTATTGCCTGTGACCAAAAATTTTTCCAGGCAAATGCATCTTTTTTAAAAAAATATGTTTTATTGATTTCAGAGAGAAGAAGGGAGAGGGAGAGAGAGAAACATCAATGAGAGTCATTGATTGGCTCCCTCCTGCACTCCCCCTACTGAGGATCGAGCCCCCAACCCAGGCATGTGCCCTGATGGTGAATCGAATAGCGATGTCCTAATTCATGGGTCGATGCTCAACCACGAAGCCATGCTGGCAGGCCATCTGTATTTTTAAACAGAAATTTAATTTACATCAAACTTTTCCAGATGTAATTTATTAAATGATGGCTTTTTATTGAAGTGTATTACTGAAAGTGAATATGTTCTAATTGATTCCTTCATTAATGAGGTTGATTACTTTTAACTAAGGTTAACATTTTTTTTATTCCATTTCAGTGAGCTCATGGACAACATGAAACACATATTAGAGTTAAATAGGATAATAATGAAATCACAGCAGGTAACTTTGCACATTAGGCTGCTTATGCACTCTCATGATTTCAGTGACACTTTCTTGCTGTTATTTATGATTAAATAGGATTGTCCAAAGGGACTGGTATGGTTGGAATTCACTGTCCTTAAGTTTTTGCTCTCTTTTTCATAACTCTGTTATTTTTCGCTTATGTTGCTAAGTGTCTCCTTATAATTTAAGCTGCTGTCTCCTCTTTTGTTGTGTGGAAGTGAAGGAATTAAAAACTGGAGTTTTTGAAAACAAACTAAGATAAAATTCAGTGATTTAAATATTACAGGTTTGTTCTTAGGTAATATGCCTTAATCTTTTTATTTCTAATAACAGGAATCTTGGAATTTGGAGAACAAACTGCTTGATGTGAAAAAGAAGAGATTTGGTATGTAGAACAGTGTTTAGTTTTTTTTGTATAATACATTTTTACTTACTGTTGAGATTGTTGAGGCCACATCTCTCAACTACTAAGAAATTTCTTAATTTTCAAATTTCCTTAAAATTTTAGATGTGGCAATTTTAAAAGTAGTATATAAAATGCATTTTGCTTGATATATTTTTGTTGGTTTAGAACATTAAATCACAAAAGTAACCAATTCTCAGTGGCAGAAAATCAAGTGATACAGAAAAGTCTAATGTGAAAGTCATGCCTCCTTCCTGTGTGACCACAGTTAGACATATTTATATATTAATTTTTAAATGGTCGGTTGATACATATAGTTCTACAGCTTCTTAACTTGAACATGAGATGGCTTTTTGCATTGAAATTATTGAAATATTTATTTCAAAAGTAGTACACATTCTCTAGAAAATTTGGAAACAGAAAAGCATATGTAGGAAAAGTTAAATATTTTACCAATTAAGAGATCTTCAGTGCTTATTTTTTATAAAATTGGCATCACTTTATTCTGTTGTATAATGCTTTTTTCATTTAACAGTGTAGTCATGATTTATATTTTTAAATATACAGTTTTGTCTGGTTTTAAGTAATGTCAGGGTCAGAAGTAGTCTTGGTCATCTGATCTAATTACCCTTTGGATGCCTAATATTTTTCCATTGCTTTCCAACCTACTTTTGATACATTGGTGTCAAGGAGCCAAGCTCCTGAGCCATGCCCATTTATGTTTTCAAGTAGTTTCATTCTTTGAACATTTCAGGAATTATAAAAATTGGTTGGTGTTTATCCCTAGCAAAGGGAACCTTACTTTTCACTGAAAATTTAACTTGGTGATATGTCATTTTATAAATAAAGGAGGGAAAACTGTTTGTTTACATATTCCTCCTTCCTGTTTTCGTACCCAGAGTAGGTCCCCTTTGACACAATGCCACTTCAAACACTTGTTGACAGCTATTATTGTCAACATAAAAACCTTGAACATTTGCATTGCTAAGTATAAAATTAAGATACTGGTATTTTGCACCAGGGAAGTCATATTCAGATCAGAATAGAACTGCAACCTAAAATGCTCTTCTTCATTAAAAATTTTCACTGAAGTAACTATAATTTTTAAAGATTCTTGTTTGTAGGAGTTGTCATATATAGTATATTGTATTTTTAACCTCAGAATTAAAACGAGCTTCAGAAAGTAAGTTTTTAGAAATACAGACTGAAAAGAACAAACAGAAAGATGATTTGGACAGTATGGAAAATTCAGACAAGATAAAGACCTTACAACAAAAGCTACAGACGGAGATACAAATTACTACAGTTATTCAACATGTGTTCCAGGTAACATGTATATAAACTAAGAAGGGAGGTAAAGAACTGTTTTAAAAATGATTGATACTATTACTTTTAGACTTACTTCCAGTTAGTGGCTCAGTGGATAGAGCATTGGCCCAAGAACCAAAGGGTTGAGGGTTCGATTGCCTGTCAAGGGCACATACCTGGGTTGCATGCTGGAAGCAACCAATTGATGTATCTCTCTCACATCTATGTTGCCCGCTCTCTCCCTCCCCTGCTCTCTCCCTTCCTCTTTAAAAAAAAAAAAATCAATGGAAAAAATATCCTTGGGTGAGGTTTAACAAAAAAAAATAATGATGTACTGAAAACTGGTCTGTTTACATATATCTGGAATTCATGTGTATTTAATGTTTAGGGCTTTGATTTTTCATTATGGCAATTTAAATGGAATGATTTTTAGCAGCTCTGTGGTAGAATGGTATAATGGTGGAGAGCATTAGACCCCAAGTTGGGAGTTGAGGGAAAACATGGATGGGGTGATGGGAATCTAAAGTTAAGATCCTGACTGCTACCTAATAGTTGCTGACCGTGAGCAAATAATTAACTTTTTTTTTAAAATCCTCACTCGAGGATATTTTTTCCATTGCTTTTCAGCGAGAGTGGGAGAGAGGGAGGTGGGGGGAACATCAGTGTAAGAGAGACACATCAATTCGTTGCCTTCCGCATGTGCCCTGACAAGGGTTGGGGATCGAGTCTGCAACGGAGGTAGGTGTCCTTGGCCAGAATCAAACACGGGACGCTTCAGTTCACAGGCCGACACTCTAACCACTTAGCCAAACCGGTTAAGGCAAATTATTAACTTATCTAAGTGTCAGTATCCTTGTTTAGAAAGAGTGCTTTCAAAAACTAAAGAAGATAATTCATGTTAATCTATTTAGCATAGTGTCTGCTCCAAGTAAATTCTCAGTAAATGTAGGTAGTTATTATCATGTCAGGTTTTAAATCTTAAGTGTCCCATTCCTTTATTCTGAAGGGTGTTTTTTTAAGTTTTGAATTATAAAATGTCTCTGGAACTGTTGTAATACTTAAATTACCAGTTTCCAATTATGAAGATGCACAGTTAAAACTATTATATGTAAAGTAAATGCCTATTATTTGTAAAGTACATCCTTGTAGAAAATGAGGTCTTATGTCTCACCATAAATTCTTCTCCAGGTCTTACACCTGCTCTAGTAGCAGTGGGTGATTCAATTAGGAGTAATCAGATCCCCTAGGCTAACCTCAAGTGGAGGATTTCATCCTAAGAATCATTTTAATTTTTTTTGGCACACATTTCGTCCTACTGCTTTGAAACTTCAGTTATTCTACATTTCTTAATTTTTATTTATAGTCTCTAAATTGGTGTTAATTTTGATTTAATGAACTCATTGCATTGTTAAACAGAGCATAGATTTGACCAACTTGGGAGCTCTCTTTGTTCCTAATGGAAGATCAGCCTTCCAGGGTTGTCATGTTTGAAAGCTTACATCCATCTTCCTTTGTAAATTTGACTGAATTTATATACCCTAGCCCTTTTATTCACTTGTAGCAAGAACGTGTCTTATATAGGCCAAAGTTTTATATGTAATAATATACCACTAATATTCTAAAATTGGTTTTAACAATATTTCAGTTACTCAGTATCATATAGTTTTTCAAAAAATAATGTCCAGAATTTTCCTTAATTATGACCCTAATCATTCCTCCATTGTCTACCACAAAAAATGTTCTTCACCTTTTTCAGGGTCTTGAAAACTTTGCAAGGGCTGAGAACTAAGCTCTTCTTTTACCTCATTTTAAAAATAGGACATATTATTTAGGCTTAAATTTTTGTTCATCATAGAAGTACAAGTGAACTCTGAACCACAGCTGCAATCTTTTTCCTTTAATCTTGGTCACCACTGCAAGTATCCTAAGTAGGTAAAACTACCCACAAAAACTGATAAAGCATAAAAACTTGTCAGCATTGTAAATACTCCCTAGCATTATGGGGATAAAGGCTGAGGCTTTGCTGAAAATGGAAATGATGATACAAGAATGTATTACTTTCCCTGGCCAGAAAGGTTGCTGGTTTGATTCCCCATCAGGGCCCACGCCTGGATTGTAGGCTCTATCCCTGGTAAGGGGCCTGCAGAAGGTAGCTAGCTGATCTGTGTTCCACTTGCACATCTATGTTTCTCTCTCTCCCTCTCCCTCTAAAGTAAAAAATAATAGTAATGTATTACTATTTTTCTCATGATCACAGATTAATCTTCACACCTAGTTAAATAATTATTTAATAAGATTCGTGAAAGGGTTTTGCTTTTTTTTAATATATCTTTATTGATTTCCGAGAGACGAAGGGAAAGGGAGAGAGATAGATAGAAACATCAATGATGAGAGAGTGGTCATTGATCAGCTGCCTCTGCACCCCCTCCCCCCCGACCGGGGATCGAGTCCACAACCTGGGCATGTGCCCTGACCAGGAATTGAACCTCGATCTCCTGGGTCCTAGGTTGATGCTCAACCACTGAGCCACGCCTGGTCAGGCTAAAAGAGGGTTTTTTAAGAGCTTGTTAAGTTTTTAAAAGTACAAAGAACATATATGCATAGCCTAAGACACAGACAACAGTGTGGTGATGGCCAGAGGGAAGTGGGGGCAGGGGCTAGGTGGAGGTGGGCAAAGCGGGGAGAAATGGGGACATTTATAACAGTGTCAACAATAAAAATAAAGTTAAAAAATACTGAAAACTTTAATTTGAAAAAAATTTTTTTTGTATTATAGAACCTCATCTTGGGAAGTAAAGTCAATTGGGCAGAGGATTCTGCCTTGAAGGAAACTGTTCTGCAACTTGAGAAGAATCTCACTATGATCTAATGAGAATTCTATTTTGGCATTATTTGTTTCTGTCTTTGATGTGTCATTTAAATAGCAAATTTCAGGTGAAATGTGGTTTTGGTGGGTTTTTTGGTGGTTTTGGAACTTATACTGCAATTTTTTTTAAAGCTTAACACTATCACATGGACTCTTGTTTTAAATATGATATTAAAGTGACTGGCATACTCTAAAAAAAAATGTGAAGATCTTAGCCTTGCAAGGATCTGGAAAGACATCATCTAGTCCACTCAATGTGGACATTTTTCTACATTCCTGGAAGTCCCAACTCTCATTTGGAATACCTCCCTGCATTTCTTTGTCAACCAAAATACTAGAAAAAATTAGAAAAGCATATCCACATCTATTTTTTTTAACTGTCAGCTGTATTTTACTCAAATCTTATTTTAGATTTATCTCACTATAGATTTTTTTTGAGATATAAATGATACATAACGTTGTGTAAGTTTAAGGTTTATAGCGTGTTAAATTGACCACCGTGGCTTTTGCTAACATCTCCATCGTCACATAATTATTTTTTTTGGTGAAAACATTTAGGATCTAGTATCTTAGCAACTTTGAAGTATATAATACAGTATTGTTAACTATAATCACAGTGCTGTGCATTAGATATCCAAAACTCAGATTCTACCTGTAAATTTGTACCATTTGTCCAACATCTCAGTTTCCCCACCCCACCCCCATCTATGTCTTTAAACAGAGACCCAAATAAAGCAGCTCAGCCTTTAAGAAAAAGATATCCAGAAGGTTTGCAGTTTTGGTTATTTAGAGGAATTGTGACTTTTTTCTTTTGTATGTCTGCATTTATTATGCATTACTTTTATAAGTTAAAAAATAGAACTTGCCACTTTTTTACTTTTATTCCATCTTGATGCACTGCAGTTGGTACTAACATTTGACATTTGTTCTTTAGATCAATATTAAGAATACAGAGATTTGCCTAAATTTGTATGCTAAACACTTCTTGGGAATATTTATAGTTTTACTTCATTTTTGATAAATTATAATTTATTTGTAATTCTTTTTGCCAGATTATTCTTGGAAATTATCTACATAAATTACTGTAAAACAAGTCATATTTTTCTTCTAGAAAAACATTCTGTAAAATGTTTTACTGCTCCAAAGGTACAGCACTAAATAAATCAGATGCACACTATATTAGTGACTCCCACCTCAATGGATTATCAGTATCTGAAAAACTTTTTGCGTTTTCCTGGGATTCTATTACCCTGTGTGTTCCCTCTTACAGTCCAAAAATGAGAGAGATATTGTGTTAGCTTTTTCTGAAATCCTGCTGGATAAAAACCCCAAACCATTATAAAAAAGTTATTTCTATCCTAGATTCATGTTTTGGCGGATCGTTCTAGGAGCCAGGCTTGAAGGAGCAGCCACTATTTGAAACTCTCATGGCTATGAGGAGGCCAAGTCACATTACACAAGCACATTTAAAGTTTCTATTTGGAAGAGGTGTATGTTCTATCTACCCAGGTTCCACTGACCAGCCCAACATCAATGGGGCTGGAAAGTGATTCTCCCCTGGCAGGGGGCATGCTGGATTTCAGAGTGGGGACAGAAAATGGATATTTGTTGAAAAGACTACAGTCTCCCAGTCTGCTATTTTGGTCTCAAATATTAACTTCCCTTCTGTGAGTAAAAGACACATCTGTTTGCAGGGAAGATAAGCTAACAATGTCATCCAATCACATTTTCAAAGTTCAGGATCTCCTGATAGTCCACATCAGGTTCAGATGTGGCTCTTGATATGTAGACCTATGAACTGAAAAGTTCTATTGCTGCAAACAATAGTGGACAATGTCTGGAGCAATTCTGAAATATAGCTTGGCAATTGATAGAAGGTGCTCCTTCCTAGGGATAGGGAACATCTTCAGATTAGTCTCTAGTGCTCTGTGGAAGCAGTTCTTCATCCATGGTTCTTCATTCTGCCTGTTGGGAGCTTCTCCCTTACCATTACCTTGGCCATATCTAAAGAGGGTATTAGAGAGTATGCCTTTCTGAGCAGCTTTCTCATCTGGGAGCTGAAAGATATTTTTATATCCGTCTTTTAAAATCCAGGCTAGTGGTGCTTTTGTTAAAATATTTTTCACACAAACATTGATGGTGGTAATGGTGGTTTTGGTTGGTGGTTTCATCAATATCAGAGCCAATAAACTATGGCTTACCAGCTGCCTATTTCTATAAATAAAGTTTTATTGAAACAAAACCACGCCCATACAATTACATACTATCTATGGCTGCTTTCCCTCCACAATAGCATAGAGTTGAATTGAACTGAGTAGCTCCAACAGAGATGATGAAGCTCTCCACCCCATTTTTCTTAGTCACTGACTTGAGAAACACTTGCCCTGTAGGAAGCTCTCTATTCTGATCTGTCTACAACTTTCTGTTCCTGTCTACCTTTCATCTCTATATTCCTGTAAACTAGAAATTAGATATAACCACTTTATTTTTTATTTTTCATTGTTTCTGTTTGTTTTTTTGTTTTTCTCATTTTTAACTGCTTTATTTTTTTAATGTTTTTATTGACTTTAGAGAGAGGAAGGGAGAGGGAAACATCAATCATGAGAGTCATTGATTAGCTGCCTCCTGCAGGCCCCCTACTGGGGATCAAGCCTGCATGTAACCCAGGCATGTGCCCCTACCAGGAATCAAACATGGACCTCCTGGTTCATAGAGTGATGCTCTACCACTGAGCCATGCTGGCTGGTCAACTGCTTTTTTTTAAAGTTTCTGTTACAGTTGACAGATCTATTTTATAAAACGTAGTTTCATATTCTTTTATCAAGAAAAGTTAAAAGTTGTACTGGGTACTTTATATTGTATTAATCACATCAGGAGGCTGTCATGCATGCTGAGTTCCACCTGACAAATCTACAGCGAGTGTCAGCAACAGGGTACATGGAACAAGATAGGAGTCAAAGGCCAGGTAAGATAGGGACTTTAAGAAGACACAATACAAGAAGTAGAATCAGATGGCATGTTCCAGGTCCATGAAAATAGCCAAATAATAGTATTGAGAATATAGACAAAATTGGGGGGCCCTGAGGGGTGAGTGAGCAAATGATCTGACGACAGAAGGCTAACTGAAATTGAGCAACAAGAAGAGAAGGCAGGATTTAGGGCCTCAGCTTCAGCTACTTTTATCATTATCCGAGAACTAATCCAAGAGAGGCCTGGATAAAAACTCTGTGAAGGAGTATGAATGCCAACATTTAGAAATAAGCTTTTTCAGAGAGAGAGGAAGGGAAAGAGAGAGAAACATCCATGAGAGTGAGAGACATCACGTGGTTGCCTCCTGCTGGAGCCTGCAACTGATGAGGTACATGCCCTTGGCCAGAATCGAACACCAGAACCTTTCCAGCCCCGGCTGGACCCTCTCACCACTGAGCCAAAACAGCTAGAGCTGAAAGCTTTTTTAAAAATAGGTTTCTGGTCTCCACAGACATACTGAATTAGAAGAGCACACATTTGGGCTCAGTTACTTACATTTCTAAAAAGCTAGAAATAACTGACCTAGATCATCAAAACAAATTTGTCACTCTAAGTATAATAGCTTAAGGCTACATTACCCACAAAGTTATGTAGAATAGCCACAACATACTGTGTATTAAAAATTACAACAATGTAAACAATACTTATCATAGAATTTACTATCACTTTGGAGGATGATATAGATGGCTTATGTTTCAAAAAGAAAAACTTGAACTTTTGAGTTCTCCCAAATCTGAAGTAGGCAGCAGTTTAATGTCAAGACAAATAGTGGAAAAAATTCCAAATCAAGCCATGCCAATAAGGGCATGCGGTGGTTTTGTACAGACCGGTATCGACCACTCTTCCTTAGCTTGCCATTAACTCCCAAGTTTAAACAAAACTGTTGTATTACCTGTATTACTTATTAAAATTTTCAGTTTAAACTTGGACTATACTAAAATTAGAAACTGGCTTTCTGAAGAGGAAATGGCCCTAAGGAGCAAAATTAACCTAACAAACCTTCGTCTGCAAAACCAAACAACGGGAAACACGTGGCTTCTAGGCGGGAAGAGGGGGCGGGTCAGGCAAAGAGCTAGTGCCATGGCGGAGGAGGATCCCCGCTCGTCCCGCCCCCTGACGTCACAGGAAAGGCCCGCCCCCCGCTGCCCGCAACTCCTATTATTGCTGCGCCTCTCTAGCGCCCCGGAAGCTGCCCCTTCTCAGGGGTCATGATGGGCAGCAAGATGGCGTCTGCTAGCAGGGTCGTTCAGGTAAAGAGCTTCGGCAGCCTTTCCGCACAGAGGGCGGTAGGGATGGTGCAGACCACGGCTAACGCGCTGGGGAGAAAAGGCGGTGGCGGAGACTGCGCGGCGCCCGCGGCCCTCAGCAGGGCCAGCGGCGCCGCCCGGGGGTGTGTGTGAGAATTAGACCTTGAGCCCCTTGGGTCGGGTAGTAAGCCAGTGACCGGAGCTGAGGGTTCGAGCCAGGCTGTGGGAATGTCGCATCTCGGCAGGTAGGCACAGAGCCGCTTTGGGGTCCCTGGACTGTCGTCCGCGAGGACCTCCTTAGCCTCCTGGGAGGCCGGGCGAGGCTGGCCGGCTGTAGCCTGGCCAATCGGCGTCTGGGATAGTCCGGATTTCCCGGATCAGCCAATCAGAGGGAGGCGGCGGAGGCGAGTGAAAGGCAGCGGGCCCTGCGCTGACCCGGTGTCCCTTCAAGGTCTTGGGAACGGCGCTAAATTGGCTGCGCCCTCGCTGGGGTTCGGGTCTCCCCCACCAATTCAGCTGTCTGGTTACAGGCCCGATGGGAGGGAATTAAAAGGGAGAGAAAAAAGATTAAGTTTAACTGTATGTATGTTTGAGTGTTGGTTTCCCAAGCCTTTGTCCTGAGTTTATCCACGTTAGTTACTAACTCCCGGTAGCTTTTGTGTTTGCTTCTCCAGCTGTGGTCTGGAGCTTAAATAGGAGAGGCAGAACTGGATATGAAGGAACACAGCCTCCACCTTTGTGGTTGGTTTACACGATTTTTTTAAACTCTTCAAGTGTATTATGATTAACTTTGATATGAGAACTGCATTTCCGTTTGCATAAGTATATTTCTTAAACGACCTTTTCTTAAAATTGTGTCAGCCTACCCTAGCCGGTGTGGCCCAGTTGCATCAAAGGTTTCCCGTTCGATTGTTCGATTCCGTCAGGTCACATACCTGGGTTGCTGGATTATCTCCAGCCCGCCGTCCGGGAGGAACAACCGATCTCCATGTTTCTCACATCCATGTTTCTCTCTCTCTTTTCCCTTCTCTCTGAAATCAATAAGCATGTCCTCGGGTGAGGATTTTTTAAAAATTGTGTCACTCTGAAAGATAATCCTAGATCCCAGTCTTTGGTCCCACTGCAACAAATGATCTTCACTTATTCATTCATTGGGTAGTTATTGAGCATTAACTTAAGATTCTGTGAGGATAAGGCGAACATCTGACAAAGAACTGTTGTTCATAATATATAGCCCAATTTAAAAATGGGTTAGCCCGGCTGGGCTGGGCGTGGCTCAGCGGTTGAGCGTTGACCTAGGATCCAGGCGATCGGGTTCGATTCCCATTTAGGGCACATGCCCGGGCTGCAGGCTCGATCCCCAGTCTGGGGCGTGCAGGAGGCTGCGGATTAATGACTCTCTCATCATTGATGTTTCTATCTCTCTTTTTCCTTCTCCTTTCCTCTCTCTCAAATCAATAAAGATATGTTTTTTTAAAAAATAAAAATAAATGGGTTAAAAAAAAGAGATACTGCACAACAGAAGACATCCAAATGAGTGATAAGCCTGTGAAAAGTTGGTTAATATCAGTACTTGCCAGGAAAATACAAATGAAAACCAGGAAGTACAACTACACCCACCTAATGATTAAAATGAAAAAGACGGACAATACCAATTGATGAGAATGTGAAGCACCAAAACGCTTATACATTGCTGGTAGGGGTATAAAATGGTACAGCCACTTTGGGAAACTGTTTTGTCCGTCTCTAATAGTTAAACATACCTACCCTTTGACCCAGTAATTCTACTCCTAGGTTTATACACAAGAGAAATGAGTGCATATACCTATATAAAAAACTCATAAAAGTGTTCATAGCCATGTTATCCATATTAACTCCCAAACCAAAAACAATCCAAATGTCCATTAGCAGGATAAAAAAAAATTGTGGTAATTTGTTAAAATGGAATAGTACACAGTACTAATAAACTACTGATATATGCAAAAAAAAGATACTGTAAGGTATACAATAAGGAATGGTCTGTCTCCTAACAGCTGCAAAGACTGATTCATATTCATAATACAAAGCAGTCTGTGCTAGCATGTAGTAATTACTTATTAGCAAAATTTATCGAGGACCACTGTTCCACGCCTACACTCAGTGCTGGGGACTGCAGTGCCAGCAAGACAGACATGGTGCCTCCATAGAGCTTGGAATTTGGCTGTTGATCCATAACTTGAAGAAACGGTAGTATTTCAACAGACTCACTGGCATAAATTCATGGAAATTCACAAAGCATGGTGTCAACATTAAGCAGAGAGATTTGGCTGGACTGCAGGGTATTCAGAGGTAATTTTAAAAGAGTAAGTTACAGGTATTAATTAAATGCCCACTGAATGCCAAGCAGTATATATTTGATATGTTTGGGCTGAAGTAAGAGCAGGAAGCTGAGTTTGTCATTTAGGAAATCTTTTGGCTGCATGAGACAGATGAGACATTTAGAAAATCTTTTGGCTGCATGAGACAGGGGAAGATGGATGGATGGGTTAATTCAGGGGTTGAGATTTGCAGGTGAAAATAAGCCTCCAGCGGGGGGAGTTGAGAGTGCTGGTAAGAGAAGGCTGAATGAACTGTGTTTTAGGCTTATTTCTCCCTCATAGAGGTTATACCATTTTGCATTCCTATAGCAACGAATGAGCACCTGCTTCCCTGCAGCTTTCCCGAGTCTTGCGTTACCCAACTTGTTCATTACAATCTAGTAAAACCTAATTGATGAAAATATTGCTGTGTAGTTTGAACCTCTCATTTCTCTTCCTATGTGTGAGGCCGGCCGTCCTTTCATACGGTTAAGAGCCACTTTCATTTATTAGCTGGGAGGACATACAAGTGCTGTATATAGTATGGCTTTTAACCTTTGGCCTGTTATAAAATTTTTTTAACTAGTTGGTTTTTTTAAGTTTGGATATGCTATATATTTTTTTTGAGTAAAAGGTCTTTTTCTTTTTAGTGTAGTCCAAATTATCAACTTCTTCCCCTTATAGGGAAAAGGGTGATAAAATAAGATTGACTATTACTGTTGAAGTTGTGTAATGTGTTTATCAGGGCTTATTATCCTACTCTCTCTACTTTTTTGTATTTTTTAAATTTTCTGTTAAAAAAGGGGAATCCCAATTAGTGTGAGAATTTAATCTGTAAGAGCATATTGCATTATAGTTTTAAGTGTACAAAAGCAATGTTGAAATGGATTCTTTCTCTCTGGTGTATGTATGTACGTATCCTTTATTCTTGTATTATTATTTAATTATTGTATTATTTATTTGTATTTCAACTGTAAACCTACTTTTGCACATCCCCTGTATTGTTAAGTGTGTGTATACATACTCACATGTGTATATACTTAGTCCTACCTTACAAATAGTCTATTCACTCATTTGGCAGATGTTTCTTGAGCATTTACTATGTTATGTACCAGGCACTGCTGCAAAAGTGCTTGATTCTCTGACTCTGCCTTTCCAGGAGCTTAGCTCTCCTGTAAAGCATTGGCTCATTTATCAGTCAGCTGCACAACATTCTTAAGATGTTCAGGATACCGTGGAAACTCAGAGGAGAAGTATTAGATTTTGGAATCGGGAAGTTGCTTTGAGAGGAGTGATATTTGAGCTGTTTTAAAAGATAAGCAGTCAGCCTGGCCAGGCATGGCTCAGTGGTTGAGCATCGACCTTGGATCCCCCTGATCACCATCAGGGCACATGCCCGGGTTGGGGGCTTTATCCCCAGTGGGGGGCATGCAGGAGGCCAATCAATGATAACTCTCTCATCATTGATGTTTCTATCTCTCACTCTCTGAAATCAGTAACGATATATTTTAAAAAAAAGATAAGCAGTCAGTTGAAAGTGGAGGCATGGAGATGGGTGGGATTAGAGAGAGATTTCCTGGCAGAGGACATAAGCTCTAGGTTGAATGGGGATGAAAATGGCATGATGAATTAGGTCAATAAGAAGTACATATTTCTGTGGGTACAGGAAAAAGACTAAAAGGGCTATCAAATGTTTAAACCTATTTTATGTAGGTTTTGGGATTGTAGATTGTAGATAGTGTTTTCCTCTTTGTGCTTTTCTGCATTTTTTCCAAATTTTTTACGCAGAGCACAGGTTACTTTTGTAGTTAGAAAAACTATTTTTTTAATTACCTAATTTTCAATATGTTTTTTGACCTATTCTAAACTACTAGATATTAACAGAGTAGGAAAACAACACTCAATACAAGTCAGGAAGCTTCCAATTCTTATCAATCAGCAGGGTGATATATGTCATGCAACATAAAGTCGTGTCATCTTTTTCATAGTGTCGACTTTGAGGTCAGTTGGCATTACAGTAAAATGTCTTATGATGTATAAAGTACAAAGTTATGAATAGCAGATAAGATAAACAAGTTAATAATTCATAGACCAGCCTGGCCGGGCGTGGCTCAGCAGTTGAGCATGGACCTAGGATCCAGGAGATCGCGGTTTGATTCCCGGTCAGGGCACATGGCCAGGTTGCGGGATCGATCCCCAGCAGGGGGTATGCAGGAGGCAGCCGATCAATGACTCTCATCATTGATGTTTCTGTCTCTTCTCTTCCTGCCTCTCTCTGAAATCAATAAAGACTTTAAAAAATAAAAGTAAAAAATAATTCATAGACCAGCCTTGGTTGGAGAAGAATAAAATAGTAAAATTTAAAATCGCTGTCAAATACTAAGTAATTTTATTGTAATGAAGGGGTATCTGTGTGGCTCAGATTTTCTTATATATCTTTATATAATGAGTTGATTTTAGTGTTTCATCTTTTTTTATGCATTTTATTTTTCCTTTAGGTAGTCAAGCCACATACTCCATTAATAAGATTCCCTGACAGGAGAGACAATCCCAAACCCAATGGTAAGTTGCACTTTAGATTATTTTTTGTTTAATTTTCATTTATTGATTTTTAGAGAAGGAACGGGGAGGGAGATAGAAAGAAAAATATCAATTTGTTGTTCCACTTATTTATACATTCATAGGTTGATTCTTTTATGTGCCCTGACTGGGATTGAACCCTCGGCGTATCGGGACAGTGCTCTAACCAACTGAGTTACCCGGCCAAGACATAGATTTTTTTAAAAAGGTGTACATGTATAGTTATACATGAATATCCTATTACAGGCCATATTTATTATTTTAAAATCAGGTAGATTCTGTAGCTTAGATGCATGCAAGTAGAAATTAACTTATTACCTCCATTTAAAAAAGTAATGTCTCAACAGATGTCTCTGAATTTTTAATGACTTCAAGTTTATTATGAAGGGGAATTTTTGTTCTACATTTCTTTCCTTCTATCCTTTAGAATAATCTCCCACACTTACATTTGCAGATATTGTGAGGAATAACCATTTCTGCATTACTCTCCCAGCTAACCTTTTCTTTCACTCATTTATTTATCTGTTCATTCAATCAGTAAATATTTCCTTGATTGCTGTAGACCTTAGCAATCATAAACTAACTGAAGATTCGAACAAAGTCCTGTTTTTCTCTGACCTCTCCATTTTACCAGAGCCTCTGTCCCTGTCTTTATTATAAGATACTTGATTCTTAATTCAGGGAGAGTTTTAACAAATTTTATACAGATATTTTTAAGTTATTATAATTCTTGAAGAATTAAGATATAGGTGATAAACAAGTATAAAGGTATTGAGAAAATGAATTTCATCTATAGTTACCAAAGTTCTTATTCCCCATTGTAAGATATTACCTATCCACCATATGACAAAACTTAAGTAATGTAGGTTATCTATATTATATGGCTTGAACTCCACTACCTAGAAATTTCATTATTTTACAAACTTGTTCAATTTAGTAACTCACTTAACTAGCTCCTTGTTTTAAAACTTTATGAAATTATATATAGCTCTACCCAACTGTTACTCTCCAATACTTACCTCTCAGAATTACAATACTTATTTCAAGAATGACTAGATTATTCAATAATAGAGAATGCAAAATAGTATTTTAAGACACCTGCACAGTTTCTCTAATTACATTTTTTTAAATTTCAGTATCAGAAGTTTCGAGATCAGCAGGACTACCATCTCACTCTTCTTCAATTTCACAACATTCTAAGGGAAGTAAATCACCAGATTGGCTGATGTATCAGGGTCCACCAGACACTGCAGAAATAATAAAAACTTTACCTCAGAAATATAGAAGGAAACTTATGTCTCAGGAAGAAGCTGAATATATCCAAGTATGTTGTTGGTCTTTATCAATATATTATGTAAAACACCTTAACATTTTTGGCTTTTAGAATTTCATATGCTGATTTACATGCCTTTCCCATTGTCTTGTCATGGTGTGTCCATAGCTAAGACACAGATGGTCTGATAGGCCAGGACTATGAGAAATAAACCATGTCCAAGCCCTCAGTTAATGTGCATGAAGGAATATATGTGTAGAAACCATCAGTATAACCACATGAAAAAAAAGCTCTTTAGGGTTCTCAATTTTTCAGAGTGTAAAGGGCTTCTGAGACTATGATATTTGAGGACCACTGATCTAGATCAACCTGAGTCCCTTCCAGATCTGAAATTATTTATAACATTTCTATGAGTGCCCAAAAGCAATGAGAAAACCCAAAATTGTTTTCAAAAGCTAAAGATCATTTGCTTAAAATAGTGTAAATTTGTATAGTAGCCATGAAAACATTTTTTCTGTAAACTTGACACCTAATCTTGTTTTATTTTTTCCTTTTCAGCGTGGAGGTCCAGAATAATCACTGACACTGTGGCTGCTGTTTGTTATCAAACAAAAGAATAGTCTTTACAATAAAGGACTTCCAAAATGACAGATGAGAAATTATACATTCAACAACTTTAATAAATATTCTGTGAAAAAAAAAAGAAAAAGAGAAAATTTAGATAGACACTTGTATCTCTTAATTTATGTATCTTGGTCAGCTCCACAAGCTTACCTAATTGTTTATATACTTTATACTTATTAAAGTACACATTTAAAAATGTTACTATTAATTTACTTTTGATTATCAAGTATTACCAGTGTTGAACTATTAAAAGCACACAATGTCTAGTAAACCACCATAGGTTTCCCATCATTTCACTTTTGTTTCTGTTTAGACCTGAGCTTATCAGGCAGAATTGCTTTTTGGAAGTGATTTCCTGAAATTGAATGAGGATAAATGAAATAATGACTCCATTAGTTGGTCTTAATTCTCTTAACATTTTTTTCATTCACAAAGTTACTGGAGTATGACTGGCTTAACAAGCACATCCTACTCTAAATAAAAATATAGGCAAGGGAAATCCAGTGACTTTGTGGTATTAAGACTGGGGAGTTAACACTATTTGATTATTTGTAACCTATTTTCAGAAAAAAATATCAGTATAAAATCAGATCAAAATGAATATAGCATAGGCATAAATGTTTGGTTAGAAATTGCAATTTATTATTTTTCAGGGGTGTTAAGAAAGTCTTTGGTTTACTTTACTGTTTTGATTGTAATAATGTATCCAAATCGTGGTAACCATTAACTTTCTCAAACTTAATGTCTGAAAGCTTCATAAAATCAACCTAAGTATTTACCTTGTTAAGGAAATTTATGAAACTTTAAAAGGGTCTTCCTGTGCCAAGGGTATATTATTATTGTGAAAGTGAAGCCTCACAAAGCTAAATAAATTCTCTTCCATAACTTTAATGATTTCTAGAATATGCTTTAAAGAAGGCATCCCTAATAGGAAAGGTAGCCTATAAGCAATAGATGAGTAGAGTTGTTGAGTATTGCCCAGTTGTTTATGGGTTAATCTTTAGTTTTTTGGGGTTTTTTTACTATTCCAAAGTTGATCTGCTTCTCTTGTAAATTCTGTGTTGTGGCCTAGTATAAATGTTGCCCAACTTGGATTTGAGGTAGAAGTCTAGTGCTAGCAATAAGCTGTCCTGGTGACTCAGAAAATACATGATTCATGTTTTTTTGGTATGGTTTTTAAATTTTATTTGGAAAATTTTCTTAAAAACTAGCACTATTCTTTTTTTTCCTTAGCTTTTGCATTTCAGTAAAAGGAAGCCCAGGGCTTTTTTTTGTTTTTTTGTTTTTTCCTCCTTTTAGTAACAGTGGGTTCAGGTAATAAAGAGTAGCATAAGTAAGACTGTGGGCCAGCAGTTAAAAACACTAATACTGGATCTGTCTGGGGGTCACCTGTACTACAGCTGCTACCATAAAAGTCAGAATGAAAAAATATATCACTTTTACAGAATTTGTAAGTACAGGTAGGGCAAAAAGGCATGTCAGTGGAAATTGCTGTCATAGGATGAACTCCCAAGGAGGATGGTGTCATAAAAAGAATTCTGGGTTGGCCCTAACCAGTGTGCTCAGTGGTAATGTCAGCTTGTGCACCCAAAGTGTCACAGGTTTGATTCCTGGTCAAGGGCATACCTGGGTTGCAGGTTCAATTGCCAGCCCCAGTTGGGGCACATTCAGAAGGCAACCAATCCATGTGCTTCTCTCACATCAATGTGTTGTTTCCCCCACCTCCTCCCTCCCTCCCACTCTAAAAATCAACAGAAAAAATATCCTTGGGTAAGGATTAACAACAACAAAAAGAATTCTGGGTTGGCTCAGAGTAAATAGCCTGTTTTAATTTACAGGTGCTTAAATATATGTAAGCATCAACAAATTGCTTAATTTGTCGAATTTTAGGTTTTCCTCTCCAGTACTGTCTATTTGTAACAAGTCACCCCAAAACTTAGTGGCTAAAAGCAATAATGATCACTTAATAGCTTGTTTTCTCTGGGTCAGGAATTCCTGAGCAAGTTGGCTGAGCAATTCTGCTCAGTCAGAGTCTCTCGTGAGGTTACAATCAGCTGCTGCCTGGGGCTGCACTTAACCTGAAGGCTTGACTGGGGCTGGACGATCTATCTCCAAGGTGGCTCACTAACATAGCTGGCAAGTTGATGCTGGCCGTTGACAGGACTCAGTTCCTCTCCACAAGGCTGCCTGAGTAAATTCATGACATGATGGCTGACTTCCTCCAGAGTGAGTCATCTAAGCGTACAAGATGGAAACAGTAATGCCTTCTACGATCTAGACTCAGATCTTAGACACACTTCTGCCATATTCTATTGTAAACATAACAGCTTGTTTCATTGTGGGAGGAAACTACACACTCCGTTAATACCAGAAGGCAAGAATCATTAGGCCATCTTGGAAGATGGCTGCTACCAATGTGTGAAAGAGCCTTGTAAGCTGTAAAATGCTATACAGATGCTGAATGGTATTTTATATATGCAGTGACCTAATGAACCCAGAATATCACCTAAACACCTTTGTTAACCTATTTAAAATATCCACATATAGGAATTTACTTGTCAGCAGCATGGCATAAGGTAGTGATTATCAATTCATATACCATAGGACACTTGGGAACCTCAAGCCTCACAGGTATACCATCAAATTTAGCTCACTACTTAGCTTATTTTTACTATAAGTGAAGTTAGAGTGTTACAGTGATGTCTCAGAAGGAACTTTGGCCTAAGTCATGTGACACCATGGATCATTAGGTATGACTTGCCACAAGTAAGATTTAAGAATTAAGTGGTGCCCTGCGGAGGAGCTCAGTCATTGGATTTCGGGTCAGCGCACATGCCCAGGTTGCTGGCTTGATCCCCAGCAGGGGGCGAGCAGATGACAGCTGGTTTGATGTTTCTCTCTCTCCCTCTCCCTCCCTCCCTCTGAAATCAATAAAGACATACATAAAAAAAAGAACTAAGTGGTTAAGAAGGTGTGTTTTTTGCAATGTATGAGAATTTTGCCTATGAACGTATCAGAGCTCAGTAAAGACCCAAGTAGTGAAAAGAGCTGAGAGGTGACCAATAGTAGTTATGGTAATGGCTAACATAAATTGAGCACTGTCAGATACTTTTCTAAGGGTTTTTGAAGTATGAAATTATTTAAGCCTTGCAGCAACCCAATGAGTAGCTTCTATTACAGAAGGGGAAACTAGGGACAAAAAGGTTAAATAATTTGCCCAAGTCATAAATTCAGTGATTGAATACTTGGGTCAGTAGTCAATGCCGGCAGTCTAGAACCAGAGCAAGGACTCAACCCTGTACACTGTATTATCTTTACTAAACTATGAGCCTTGGTATTCTGCCTTCTTCAACATGCCTCTGAAAATCAGGATTCTCAACTCTTAGAAACATCAAATGACCCAGGTTCAAAACTATAGAATTATGCTTTCCTTACTCGGCCCCCAACACATACACAGTCTCAGCATATCCTATTGGCTAGAAGCCACCTAACACAGCCATCTGGATTACTGCAATAATTCTTTATCCCGCCTTCTTGCTTCTCCTTGCCCCCC